CCAAGCCTAATTTTCGCCAGCAATATTTCTTATATACAGATAAATATAAGTTCAACAAATACCAAGCTATGTAATTCTTAGAGTAAGGAGTTGAATCAGAACTCAGATTTCCGTAGATTTTTTAAAAGCCTGATTTGGAAATCAGCTGTTTTGTAAATTATCTTATGTGTTAGAAAGTATCCTGGAGTGTATGTTGTGAGAAATTGTTTTTTTAAGGAAATTTTTCTAGTCAGTGTTTAAATTTAACAGAATATAGTATAGCCAACTTTGATAAGACCAATTACTTAGAAAGCACTAGAGAATTAACCAGTTTGGCTTAGATAATAACTAAAGGTATAGGTTAAAAAGTAAAAGAATTTAAACCCATAAATCCCTGAATAAAGAACAACTTGCCATTTCTACACTTGGAAAGTAAAGCAGCTTCTTTGCAAAGGATCATTGACTAGAATGCTCAGTAGAATATGTTGTTTGTTAAACTAACATTATATTTTGATGTAGTGGAAAAATGTGTGTGAATATTTAAGTCAGATCTGTGTTTTAACAGTCATTCTGCTATTTTCAAATTTTACATCCCTAAGCAAGGGAATCAGTTTCTTCCTACACAATTTACCTAACTGCAAAAGCTAAGCAGAACAAGCCAGCAACAAATTAATACTAAAATAATAGATCAACATGCCTGGAACACAAGAAGACTGAGTAAACATTTACTTTTCTCCTTTCCTCCATTGCCAGGGAAAGGGCAAACAACCTGAATGTCATACTCATCTATTCTCACATATGTCCATGTTATATCATGGTTATCAACAAAATACATTTTTTAAAAGACTCTTTAATTGACTTCAGCTCATGCTCTACTTATTAAAAAAAGAACACATACAGCTTTGTAAAACTGAGTCTAAGATGTGGTGGTCTCATTTTTCTTAACCAAAATAGTCATATTTTATTTGGCTCTATGGACAAGTTAGTTCTGTGCTCCATCTGCTATTGGGCACTCTAAAGGCGGGAAGCAGCAAACGATAATGTGATGGTCTAGATTGGAGGTGAAATATTAGAAAAAGGTAGAGAACTTAGAACAAGTCCTTCAGGTTATCTTTATGTCCCAGAGAAAGGTCCTTATCATGATGTTTGTGATTTTTCCATGTTGCTGTAGTATGTCTTTGTCTTGAATAACAGGTACAGTATATCAGAAGTATGAGCCAATCTTTTTCCAGTCCATTGGAAATCCATTTATTTTTAGATGCCTGGATGGGATACTCATTGATGGAAATGACAAAGGAATATCAAAAGTTGTGTACAGGTAAGTCATTGCCCATATTCCAATTTAATAATCAGAGACAGAACCACACCACAATGACTATTATCACTAGCGTTGGTACTTTAAATAAAAATCTATTTAGGAAGCTGCTGTATTGATTAGACAAAAGTTTTTTCAGAGAAATTGCAGTTGTTTGGTTCTAGGGTTTATTTTTTATTTTTGAATTACAATCCCTTAGTTAATGCTTTCACCTGTTTCAGATCTTGCAATGGGAGGGATCAACTTGGCCCTTTAAAAATGAGTGACAGTACATGGCTAACATCAGAAATTCATAATCCACTGGCTGTAGGACAGTATGTCAACAATTGTTCAAATGGTAAGTTGGCATTATGGGGCTGTGAGACAAGATATAAATACAGCAGAGGTAATTCTCCTTTGCCATGTGACTGAGAGCCAGAGGTAGTTGAGTTTAACATCTCAGCAATTCAAAGCCTTTATGTAACATTTTGAGGGCAGATATCAAAAAGAGAATTTGGGGAAATTGTGATATACATTAATTGGAATTCTTTCATTTACTATTTTTGTTTGGGTTTCATAGTAAATAAAGGCAGTTGATAACTTCCCTTTTGATCAATACTATTTTACCATTTTTCAATAGTTTTCAATAGATTATTTTGTCGGTGCCTTAATATGGCCTTAATAGATTAATCGCTAGACGGGTATTCCCTTTCCTTGGCTAAATTTGTGAGTTACTTACCTTCTCTAGAGCTTGACTCTTTCATTAGTTTGATCATTTGGCTACATTTAGCATAGGCTTTGGTGTTAGGAAAACATGAACTTGAAGCCTGACTCTTAACATTTAACCTTACTGAGTCTCTGTTTTCTGATCCTCAAAAAGTAAATAATAAAACATACATATATCCGTATGTATCTAGCAGTTCCTGAAATATAATAGTGATTATTAATTTGAGCATGTTCTGGTAATTTATAAAACCAAATATCAAGTGTCATAATTCAGTATTGTTTTCCATGACCTTGTAAAATGGATGTTTCTAAAAGTTTATACTTGTTCCTAGATAGAGCAGCTAATGTCTGTTATCAGGAATTTGATGTGCCTGAAGTTTTCCCTTTAGAACTGAAGCAGTATCTTCCAAACATCGCCTACAGCTGTGACAAACAAAGGTTAGTCTTCTAGAAGAGCTTTTTCTATCTTCTGTCTCATGCTGTACTTTAAAAAAATTTTTTCTAAGAAAAAGCTATGTAAAATTTGGGTTAAGTAGGGTTTTTTTGGTAGAAAATTGTAACTTAGATTTTTATGTTCTTCTCACCTCAATATTAATCTATACTTATTTAAAATTAAAAATTTCCATTAACTTAGTTCAATCTTCTTTTCATTACCCATTTTTTTCTATGTAGTACTTTATAACCTTAAAGTTTTTTTCAAGTGATTCTGTTGTTTTCCCTACTTACAAAATCTTCAAATACATTTTTATTTTAATCATTTTATGGATCATGTTTTCTACCTTACATGAGTGCACCCAGTTGAAGAAAGGGGCCAGATTATGCTATTATTTCTTTCTTTAAAAAATTTTTTGTTAGGGTATTATTGATATACACTCTTATGAAGCTTTCACATGAAAAAACCATGTGCTTACTACATTCACCCATGTTACCGTGTATCCCCCCATACCCCATTGCAGTCACTGCCCATCAGTGTAGTAAGATGCCACACAGTCACTATTTGCCTTCTCTGTACTACACTGTCTTCCCCATGATCCCCACTACACCATGTGTACCAATCATAATACCCCTGAACCCCTTCTCCCTCCCTCCCCAACCACCCTCCCCGACCTCTCCCCTTTTGTAACCGCTGGTCCCTTCTTGGAGTCTGTGAGTCTGTTGCTGTTTTGTTCCTTCAATTTTGCTTCATTGTTATACTCCACAAATGAGGGATATCATTTGGTACTTGTCTTTCTCTGCCTGGCTTATTTCACTGAGCATAATATCCTCCAGCTCCATCCATGTTGTTGCAAATGGTAGGATTTGTTTCTTTCTTATGGCTGAATAGTATTCCATTGTGTATATGTACCACCTCTTCTTTATCCATTCATCTACTGATGGACATTTAGGTTACTTTCATATCTTAGCTATTGTAAATAGTACTGCAGTAAACCTAGGGGTTCTTATCTCTTTTTGAATCTGGGATCTTGTTTTCTTTGAGTAAATTCCTAGGAGTGGAATTTCTGGGTCAAATGGTATTTCTATTTTTAGTTTTTTGAAGAACCTCCATATTGCTTTCCACAATGGTTGAACAAGCTTACATTCCCACCAGCAATGTAGGAGGATTCCCCTTTCTCCGCATCCTCACCAACATTTGTTTTTCTTAGTCTTTACGATACTGGCCATCCTAACTCGTGTGAGGTAATATCTCATTGTGGTTTTAATTTGCATTTCTCTGATAACTAGCGATGTGGAGCATCTTTTCATGTGACTGTTGGCCATCTGAATTTCTTCTTTGGAGAATTTTCTGCTCATATCCTCCACCCATTCTCAATCGGGTTATTTGACTTTTGGGTGTTGAGGCTTGTGAGTTCCTTATATATTTTGGATGTTAACCCCTTGTCAGATATGTCATTTACAAATATATTCTCCCATACTGTAGGATGCCTTTTTGTTCTATTGGTGGTGTCCTTTGCAGTACAGAAGCTTTTTAGTTTGACGTAGTCCCATGAGTTCATTTTTGCTTTTGTTTCCCTTGCTTGAGGAGATGCATTCAGAAAACAGTTGCTCATGTTTATGTTCAGGAGATTTTTGCCTATGTTATCTTCCAAGAGTTTTAAGATTTCATGTCTTACATTCAGGTCTTTGATCCATTTCGAGTTTACTTTTGTGTATGGGGATAGACAGTAACCCAGTTTCATTCTCTTGCATGTAGCTGCCCAGTTTTGCCAACAACAGTTGTTGAAGAGGCTGTTTCCCCATTGTATATCCATGCCTCCTTTATCATATATTAATTGATCATAAATGCTTGGGTTTATATGTAGGCTCTCTAGTCTGTTCCATTGGTCTATAGGTCTGTTCTTGTGCCAGTACCAAATTATTGTGATTACTGTGGCTTTGTAGTAGAGCTTGAAGTTGGGGAGCATAATCCCCCCAGCTTTATTCTTCCTTCTCAGGATTGCTTTGGCTATTCGGAGTCTTTTGTGGTTCCATATGAATTTTAGAACGATTTTCTCCAATTCATTGAAGAATGCTGTTGGTATTTTGATAGGGATTGCATTGAATCTGTAGATTGCTTTAGGCAGTATGGCCATTTTGACAATATTAATTCTTCCTATCCATGAGCATGGGATGTGTTTCCATTTATTGGTATCTTCTTTAATTTCTCTCATAAGTGTTTTATAGTTTTCAGTGTATAGGTCTTTCACTTCCTTCATTAAGTTTATTCCAAGGTATTTTATTCTTTTTGATGCAATTGTGAATGGAATTGTTTCTCTTTCTGCTAGTTCATCATTAGTGTATAGGAATGCAACAGATTTCTGTGTATTTTGTGTCCTGCAACGTTATTGAATCAGATATTAGATCTAGTAGTTTTGGAGTGGATCCTTTAGGGTTTTTTATGTACAATATCATATCATATGCAAACAGTGACAGTTTAACTTCTTCCTTACCAATCTGGATGCCTTTTATTTCTTTGTGTTGTCTGATTGCTGTGGCTAGGACCTCCAGTACTATGTTGAATAAAAGTGGAGAGAGTGGAAATCCTTGTCTTGTTCCTGATCTTAAAGGAAAAGCTTTCAGATTCTTGCTGTTAAGTGTGATGTTGGCTGTGGGTTTGTCATATATGGCCTTTATTATGTTGAGATACTTGCCCTCTAGATCCATTTTGCTGAGAGTTTTTATCATGAATGGATGTTGAATTTTGTCAAATGATTTTTCAGCATCTATAGAAATGATCATGTGGTTTTTGTCCTTCTTTTTGTTGATGTGGTGGGTGATGTTGATGGATCTTCTAATATTGTACCATCTTTGCATCCCTGGAATAAATCCTACTTGATCATGATGGATGATCTTTTTGATGTATTTTTGAATTCAGTTTGCTAATACTTTGTTGAGTCTTTTTGCATCTATATTCATCAGGGATATTGGTCTGTAATTTTCTTGATTAGGGTGATACTGGCTTCATAGAGTGAGTTTGGAAGTATTCCCTCTTCTTCTACTTTTTGGAAAACTTTAAGGAGAATGGGTACTAGGTCTTCACTAAATGTTTGATAAAATTCAGAAGTGAAGCCATGTGGTTCAGGGGTTTTTGTTCTTAGGTAGTTTTTTGATTACCAGTTCAATTTCATTGCTAGTTGGTCTGTTCAGATTTTCTGTTTCTTCCTTGGTCAGCCTTGGAAGGTTGTATTTTTCTAGAAAGTTGTCCATTTCTTCTAGTTTGTTACTATATAGTTTTTCATAATATTCTCTAATAATTCTTTGTATTTCTGTGATGTCTGTAGTGATTTTTCCTTTCTCATTTTTGATTTTGTTTATGTGTGTAGACTTTCTTTTTTTCTTTATAAGTCTGGCTAGGGGTTTATGTATTTTGTTTATTTTCTTGAAGAACCAGCTCCTACTTTCATTGATTCTTTCTATTGTTTTCTTCTTCTCAATTTTATTTATTTCTGCTCTTATCTTTATTATGTCCCTCCTACTGACTTTGGGCCTCATTTGTTCTTCTTTTTCTAGTTTTGTTAATTGTGTTTAGATTGTTCATACAGCATTGTTCTTCTTTCCTGAGGTAGGCCTGTATTACAGTATACTTCCCTTTTAGCACGGACTTCGCTGCGTCCCATAGATTTTGTGGTGTTGAATTACTGTTGTCATTTGTCTCCATATATTGCTTGATCTGTTTTTATTTGTCATTGACCCATTGGTTATTTAGGAGCATGTTGTTAAGCCTCCATGTGTTTATGGGCTTTTTTGTTTTCTTTGCGTAATTTACTTCTAGTTTCATAGCTTTGTGGTCTGAGAAGCTGGTGGGTACAATTTCAATCTTTTTGAATTTACTGAGGCTCTTTTTGTGTCCTAGTATATGATCTGTTCTTGAAAGTGTCCCATGTGCACTTGAGAAGAATGTGTATCCTGCAGCTTTTGGGTGTAGAGTTCTGTAGATATCTGTTAGGTCCATCTTCTCTAATGTGTTGTTCAGTGCCTCTGTCTCCTTACTTACTTTCTGTCTGGTTGGTCTGTCCTTTGGAGTGAGTGGAGTGTTGAAGTGTCCTAGAATAAATGCATTGCATTCTGTTTCCCCTTTTAATTCTGTATTTGTTTCACATATGTAGATCCTCCTGTGTTAGGTGCATAGATATTTATAATGGTTACATCCTCTTCTTGGATTGACCCCTTTATCATTATGTAATGTCCTTCTTTGTCTCTTGTGACTTTCTTTGTTTTGAAGTCTGTTTTGTCTGATACAAGTACTGCAACACCAGCTTTTTGTCCCTGTTAGTTGCATGAAATATCTTTTTCCATCCCTTCTCTTTTAGTCTGTGTATGTCTTTGGGTTTAAAGTGAGTCTCTTGTAGGGAGCATATAGATGGGTCTTGTTTTTTTATCCATTCAGTGACTCTGTGTCTTTTGATTAGTGCATTCAGACCATTTACATTTAGGGTGATTATCGATAGTAATGTACTTATTGCCATTGCAGGCTTTAGATTTGTGGTTACCAAAGGTTCAAGGATAACTTCCTTACTATCTAAGAGTCTATCTTAACTCACTTAGTGTGCTATTACAAACACAATCTAAAGGTTTTTTTTCCCTTTTCTTCTTCCTCCATTCTTTATATGTTAGGTATCATATTCTATACCCTTTGTCTATCCCTTTTTTATTACCTCTGGTGACAGCTATTAAACCTTAGGAACACTTCCATCTATAGCATCCCCTCCAAAATACACTGTAGAGATGGTATTTGGGAGGTAAATTCTCTCAGCTTTTGCTTACCTGGAAATTGTTTAATCCCTCCTTCAAATTTAAATGACAATCTTGCCGGATAGAGTATTCTTGGTTCGAGGCCCTGCTGCTTCATTGCATTAAATATATCATGCTACTCCCTTCTGGCATGTAAGGTTTCTGCTGAGAAGTCTGATGATAGCCTGATGGCTTTCCTTTGTATTTGATCTTAGTTCTCTCTCTGGCTGCTTTTAAGTCTGTCCTTGTCATTGATCTTTACCATTTTAATTACTGTATGTCTTGGTGTTGTCCTCCTTAGGTCCCTTGTGTTGGGAGATCTATGGATCTCCATGGCCTGAGAGACTCTCTCCTTCCCTAGATTGGGGAAGTTTTCAGAATTACTTCCTCTAAGAAACTTTCTATCCCTTTTTCTCTCTTTTCTTCTTCTGATACTCTTATAATACAAATATTGTTCCACTTGGATTGGTCACACAGTTCTCTCAATATTCTTTCATTTTTGGAGATCCTTTTTTCTCTCTGTGCCTCAGTTTCTTTGTATTCCTCTTCCCTAGTCTCTATTTATCTTCTCCTCCGCCATATCTAATCTGCTTTTAATACCCTTCATTGTGTGCCTCAGTGATTGCAGCTCCATCCTAAATTCGTTCCTGAGTTTTTGAATATTTTTCTGTACCTCCAGGAGAATGTTTATGACTTTCATTTTGAAATCTCAGGAAGATATATTAGTTCAGTTCACTCGATCCTTTTTCTAGTGTTGAGATTTTGCTTTGAACCAGGTTCCTTTGATGTTTCATATTTGTATGTGGCATCCTCTAGTGCCCAGAAGGTCTACTTTTCTGGAGCTGCTCAGCCTCTGGAGCGATGTCGGGGGTTGCAGGGGAGTGGTGCTATTGCCTGGGGGGAGGAAAGAGCTTTTTCCTGCTTCCCGGCTGCTATGCCTATCTCCACTGCCAGAACCAGTGGGCTGAACACACAGGTATAAGCCTCTATGCTTTGTGTTTGTAGCTGCTGTAAACGGGGCTTCTCTCTGGCTGGCCTGATGCCAGGGCAGGAGCTGCTGTTTGCGAGGCAGGTGCAGGTTAGCCAGGAGGAAGAAGGCGCAGCAGGCTGTGTATCATGGTGGGGCCCTTGGAGCTCCATAGCCAGCCAGGGGGATGGAGCACCTGAAGATCGTTTAAGTTGCCATCCCTGTTCCATGATGTCTGTTCTTTCCTCCAGGTTTATGTAGTCTGGCACAGCCTTCTTTCCTGTTCTCTTTCAGGATTAGTTGTATTAATTATATTTTCGTATTATATGTGGTTTTAGGAGGAGGTCTCGGTCTCACCTCTCACACCACCATCTTTAATCCCTCCCCTAACCTATTATTTCTTTAGCCCATTTCACTATTAGGTTTGAAAACTTAATATTGAAAAAAAGGGAAATGCTCAGAAGATACATATTTTTAATGTAATTTTTTTTTCTGTTCATTAAGTGGAAAGTCTGAGGATGTTCGTGTAACTATTTCTAAGTATAAATAATTCTGTAGAGTTTTTTCTCATCAATAATGCTATGGGAAGATAGAATTTTTATATCATTTCACTGAGCTGCCAGGTGCTAGCAAGTTTAATTTGTATGGCTCCTATTAAATTTACCTTTTAAGATAAATGATATTTAAAACTTAGACTATTCCCTGTATTAATAACTTGATAACTTTTCTATCTATATATGTCTGTTTCTTTCTTTAGCAATTAGGTTTTTTTTAGCCATATACTCTTGGGACATAATGTCGTTACTGTTCAACAAGTACAGAAAAAGTTAAATGAGTAGGAACATTGAAAGGTACATATGTCTTGTGTCCATAAAAAGTATTTTTTAAAATTCCAATTTTAAGTAATGTTTCCAGTTTTGTAGAATATAAAGGTACAAATTAATTTTAAAAAGTCATTTTAAGTGCCTTTTGTGATACCAGTTTTAGGGTGTGAACACAGAAAACATGTTCAGAAGAGATGGTCAGTTGTATAAACTTATTGATTTGTGGTCTTTTTAAATAATATAGACAAACTCTACTTCAAAATACCTCCATCAAGGATAAGAACGGATTCCTTATGGAAATCAAATGTATAAATAAGTGATAGTAAAGAATCTAAATAAGCTTACATCTATAAAACCCATATTGGTTGTATTAAAAATATGAGCTTGTATACTTCTGATTTTGTGTATTTTTGTTTTCAGCGCACTTCGATGTGTTGTTCTTGTCGCACTCAGGGACATTGAACAAGGAGAAGAGCTTTTTTCAAACTACTATACAATTGTCAGCTAACTCTGAATTACAAGTTAGGTTTTCCACTCAGCCATTAATTCTAAATATTTTTTTAAATCATTTTTTCTGAGTTCCACCTGTAGAACAAATACTTCAAGACTTAATTGGAGTGGGAATTTTTTTGTTTTTATTGTTAATATTTTTGTGCCAATTCCATGATAAAAGCTATTTGCTTCATTAATTTCCAATTTATTGTACAGTTCGTTTTAATTGGTTTTTACCTACACAGAAGTTATTAAACCTACTGCCTGAACTTATAATTTCAATTTTTTGTTTAGTTTGTGTACCTCTATGTAGTGGTTTGTAAAATTTAGCTAAGTCATCAGCAATTCTTATACTGTTGATGTACATAGACCTTATAAACTTTATTTTTACAAAATAAAGCCAAACATATTTGTCGTGTTGTCATGGGTTTATAGGTGTGTGTGTGTGTAATTTAAAGATTGTTTTAGCTGAATAAGGGGTAGTTGAAGGGGGTCATATTATACTATTTTCCTTTACTTGAACATTTACACACACACACTTTAAAACACTAAAAGAGAATATGAAAAAGATGGTTTTGGCATAGAAATATAGTTAAAAGATAGTAGTGCTTGGAGGAACACCTATTCCCCAATTTCTCATGTTACCACGTGGAGGGCTTCCATTACTAGTACTCCTCATCTCTCTCTCCACCCGTTGAAGAGAGTGATTTTCTGAAACTATCTTTGGAGAAGAACTAGGTACCCGTGGTCCAGACCCTGCACCTATGGACTCTGCCAGCAGAGAATACATCCCCTATGCCTTGTGCAGAGAGCAGCCTTAAAATTGGCCCAGCCAGTGACCAAGTTTAGTCTAGTTCAGAAGTGCAATATTACTGAGCTGACCTGGCCACAGCTCTGAAGCCACCTTCTCCAGAGTTTCATTAGTAATAAGTTACTTTGATCTCCATAAACCTGACTCCAATTCTCAGTTCCAAACTTAGATGAAGAGGAAGATGTTATTAACAGGGCACCTCAAATTCTAACATGGAGCCTGTATAACCAGATTCTGGCCACCTTCACTGCTACACCAACAGCTTTTCACTTAGTTTTAATTTCAGTAAGCTCCTAATTGCCTTCCCTATTTCTATTCCTGCCAGTTTTACAGAATAGATCACCAAGAGTGACTCCTTCATACGTTAAGTCAGATCTTGACCCCACCTCTACTCAAGACCCTCGGATTACTCCCTCTGTAGTGGAGTACATGCTGAAATCCTTCACATATATGATCTGGCTGCTCATTACCTCTGATCTCATCTGCTCACTCCACCCCAACCACACCTGCCTCCTTGCCACTCCTGGAGCCTACTGGGCACACCCCACTTAGGGCTTTTTCACTAGTTCTCTCTGCCTGCTAAGATCTTTCCCCAGATAACCACATGGCTCATTCCCTCCATCACCTTGCCTAACCACCCAATTGAAATTTAGTCTCCAACTCTCACTGCTCACACTTGCCATTCCATTTCCTTTCTTTTTCCCTATAACATGTATCATGTTTACATACATGTTACATCCATGGGAGCATCTGATTCCTTCCTCAACCTCATTTGTCTGATCCAGAGAAACCAGAGGGGTTCATCTTGTAAGAAAGCCAACCTACTTGATCGAGAAGATCCTGTCACCCAGAACTTCATGTGAAAAATAGAGAAACTAGCTCCTGTGGACATATTAGGTGGGCTGAAGTACTTATGATTGAAGTTTTGCAATGTCAATAACATTTTTAAAATAGTTCAGAAAAAATGCATATTGTATAGAAAGAGATCAAATATGGTAAAATGTTAATTGTTCAAGCTGGCTGTTCTTTATACCATTCTTTTCATTTTTGTTTTAAATATTTTAAAAGTTGGGAAAGTCACCATAAGCTTAAGAGTAATGTAGGTCATCAAACATTTAGACAATACCTACAATGTGAAGGCTCCTTGGAGACTGAAAGAATAAAACGTGATTCTTTCTCTCATAAAATGCTCACAGTGGGAGTATAAAACTTGCATAGTATCAAGACTTAGTCTGCATCAGAGAGGTGAAGGATTTTTCTTTATAATAAAACTGGTATTTTTAAAAAGAACCTATTTTTCTTAGTTTTTTTTATTTATAAATAGCTGATTTCTGACATGCTTATGAAATGCTTATATGAATTCTAAACCAGAAAACAATTTAGTGGTAGTATTTTATTTACCTCTGTAAAAAGTCATCTCAAAATTGAGGTACACAACAGAGTATGTCTCTGAAGAGAATGTCACTAGAGAATTAAACCTAGAAAAACATGGAGCATTCCTAGCCAAGGACCACAATGCAGTGCCCCGGGCACTGTTTTGTTAAAGAACCCCTTCCGACATGGACCTGAGAGTAAGGATCACTTACCTGGAAAGGGTATGGTAAACAGTGCTATGTCTCAGGGAGTGAGTTTAAATTAAATTAAAGTGTATATAATGAAATGCCCAATTTACAGATGTCATGAAGCCTTTGAGAAGTAGACAAGCAGCAGGTACAAAAAGCATACCAATGGAAATGATAGTCAAAATGGATAGTCTAGAAATCCCAAGAGGTGCAAATTATTCTGCTCCCACAAGGCTCTCCTCCCTCCCCAAAAGCATGGAACACTAGGTAGCTCTCAGATGGCACTTGGGCCACACTCTTGGCTGTATTCAGAACACTGGTGCTTGTCCCCACTTTGAAGACACTTACATCTATGTGTCCACTGGAGTCCTGCACATTAAAGCTCTTTGGTGTCTGTGAATGAAGGAATGTAGTTTCAGACAAGGAACCAAAGCACAGTAGTCAAGGTGTTTGCTTCCATTTTACCCTCTTATTCTTGTACAAAATCTGGACATTATGTGCAATCTGATCACTGCATACTGAGAATGGAACTACAGAGGAAGTTCTGACCAGAGCAAATGAAATATGGGAACAAACATGAAATCGGGCTAAGATGAGATCTTTAACTTCAAAAGACAGAAGCTCAGGGAAGATATTTCTGGAATCTTAACTATGTAATAATCAATAACTATGATTATTACAGATAGGAAACATTAGTTTACCATAAGCATATTCTATCAAATAATAGTATTTGATTAAATGTCAGGCATCATGTCTTCCTAAAAGACATAATTACCTAGAACAGTACTTGAAATCTAACGGACATTCAAAAAATATTTCCTGAGATAAAGTATAATCCTTACTTTGGGATGGCTAGAATTTTATTACAGATGGCAGTTTATTATAGAAGATTTGAAGAAAATTTATCTACCAACAATATTACTCAATGATCAAGTATCTTATTTAGTAGATCTAAAACCAATTTAACAGTGGTCAAATTATCTACCCATGTGTTACAACTTAAAATTCATTAAATAAAAATTGATTTGTGGCAAATACTCACACGAACCAAGGAAAAAAAAAAGATTTCCAGATTTTTATTTCTGGAACTGTACACCAGGTATTAAAGTACAACAAATACAAAATAATGCTCAAAAAAATCAGTGTTTATGTACAAATATTAAAATCAATGCAACAATAGCAACTTCCTCTTGAACATCTGATACTAAAACTTGTTCTGATTGTCACTAATTAATCTCATACGGTATTTATTTCAAACTGGGACAATCGGAATCACTGTCATCTAAGAGGAATTTTAATATCTACCATATTTAACAATAAAACTAATAGTTTCCTCCTTTTAGTGAAAAAATTAAGAACTTTTTAAAAAACATAGTAATGTCCATATTTTTATAAATTATTTCAATTCCCATTTCTAGACAATGTGCTTTGAAAACTCTGGGCAAACAATCTCCTTGGTGGTCAGGTTTATTCATTAATTACATTCAAAGTTGAAATATTCACTAGAGACTTTGGTTAAATTAAATAGATCACTATGCTCTACAAATCTGATCTCAAATATTTATGATCCTCAATTTAAGAATTAAAAAGAAAATAATTGCACAATTCTTTGACCTAATTGAATACACTTTAGTATTGTTTAAACAGTATTCTACATCCTTCAAGTAAATTCAGCAGTTGACCATGACAAGAGGAAAACTCAACATTTAAAAAGCTAGCACAAAAAAGATGAAGTACAACCAACAAAAGTAAAGTATTGCTATCATCACAGCACCAGTTACACTTCTAAATGAATCCGCTGTCCTCCTCCAACTCCCCGTACACAGAAGCTACATCAGCCAACACTGCAACTGCTCACCATAAGTTTTTGGTTTGTTCATTCAAAAATAATGCGCAGAAAGGGAAAAAAACGAAGAATTTATCACAGTTTGTTATAAGAATTGTGCTTAACACTTGATAATGAATGCATTATTGTTGCATCATATGACTGCAAATCAGTTGTTTTCATGCACATATTGTATAGAAAGAGATCAAATATGGTAAAATGTTAATTGTTCAAGCTGGCTGTTCTTTATACCATTCTTTTCATTTTTGTTTTAAATATTTTAAAAGTTGGGAAAGTCACCATAAGCTTAAGAGTAATGTAGGTCATCAAACATTTAGACAATACCTACAATGTGAAGGCTCCTTGGAGACTGAAAGAATAAAATGTGATTCTTTCTCTCATAAAATGCTCACAGTGGGAGTATAAAACTTGCATAGTATCAAGACTTAGTCTGCATCAGAGAGGTGAAGGATTTTTCTTTATAATAAAACTGGTATTTTTAAAAAGAACCTATTTTTCTTAGTTTTTTTTATTTATAAATAGCTGATTTCTGACATGCTTATGAAATGCTTATATGAATTCTAAACCAGAAAACAATTTAGTGGTAGTATTTTATTTACCTCTGTAAAAAGTCATCTCAAAATTGAGGTACACAACAGAGTATGTCTCTGAAGAGAATGTCACTAGAGAATTAAACCTAGAAAAACATGGAGCATTCCTAGCCAAGGACCACAATGCAGTGCCCCGGGCACTGTTTTGTTAGAGAACCCCTTCCGACATGGACCTGAGAGTAAGGATCACTTACCTGGAAAGGGTATGGTAAACAATGCTATGTCTCAGGGAGTGAGTTTAAATTAAAATTAAAGTGTATATAATGAAATGCCCAATTTACAGATGTCATGAAGCCTTTGAGAAGTAGACAAGCAGCAGGTACAAAAAGCATACCAATGGAAATGATAGTCAAAATGGATAGTCTAGAAATCCCAAGAGGTGCAAATTATTCTGCTCCCACAAGGCTCTCCTCCCTCCCCAAAAGCATGGAACACTAGGTAGCTCTCAGATGGCACTTGGGCCACACTCTTGGCTGTATTCAGAACACTGGTGCTTGTCCCCACTTTGAAGACACTTACATCTATGTGTCCACTGGAGTCCTGCACATTAAAGCTCTTTGGTGTCTGTGAATGAAGGAATGTAGTTTCAGACAAGGAACCAAAGCACAGTA